CACTCCTCTAAATCTGCTCTCCCCAGGCTCCACCTCACATCTCAAGGGATTTTCCACCCCAGTGTTGACAACTCTAGCAGCCAAGCTCTGTTTAACAACTTGGTTGCTGTAGTGGTTCATGATGCAGAAGTAATACACAAATCATGAATACTGTGGTTTCTGCACAGACTACTCACAATACCAATTTAACCAAAAAACAACAACAAACATTTAAAAGACTCCAGGTGAACCAGTCAACTGTCCTCCAATATTGTTCCAAAGGGCTGGTGATGAAAACCTGGGTATTCTACACACATGTGCAGAACTACAGTTTGAATGGAAAATAATGAGGAGGTCTGCTGCCTTTTTCCTTCAAAAAGTATTCTAAACAATACTATTTTTGTAAGATGCAGTATTTGCTTTAACATTCTGAACAGACAAGAAACAACATAATTATCTCAGTATTTGTAGATAGATATTTTCCCTTGGGCTCTGAATGCTTATTTTCACAGAACTACTAGTGCTGTTGAAAGAAGCAGAAAATGTAGCAGGATCCTAAACATTAAGCTACATTTATCTTTGCCCAATTGATTAGAAGAGCAGGCTTTTGCTGCTGTATACAATACAATATGATAAGCCATGACTACATCATATATGGATGCATAATTTACATAAAATAAATGGAGGACATAAGCCCTTTATAAATTTATAATGATTATACTCTATCATTCAGAAATGATGTCAAAACTCTACTATACTACTATATAACTAATAACAGCCCTCTTACGTTTGTAGGGGTAGTTTGCAAACAAAAGAATGTCAGAATATTTCAGCGGCTGTAAATTGCAGATAATTTGTATGTAGCCTATCTGCACCTGTATGCACACAACTCCAACTCCTGAGGTAAGGACAATGAAGCGCAAGAACAATCCATTATCCCCACTTTTATTCACATTCCCTCAGACCACAATTCCTTCAAAGCAGGTATTCAGAAAGCCAGCATCTTCTGTTTGTGAAGTAGATCACAGAGAACAGAACAGAACACACACACACACACACACACACAGAGTCACAACCAAATTCAGGGAAAGATGTGAATACTGCTGTATCCAGATAAAACTGTGCAGGATTTAAAACTTTTGGTGTTTATTCTGCCATTCAGAGGATGAAGGCAGGCAATAGTAAACATTCAACAGAACACTTCTCAAAATGCAGCAACCCAAAGATTCATACCACCATTTATGTTATTTGCTAGATCACCTTATAGCGGCAGGGACCTTTTTAAAAACCAATGGTTTTTATTATGTGGTTCACTACTTAATGAGCCTCATTTCTGCATTCTAGTTTTAATCCAGACAACCTACTGGGATTATTTACATACCAGTCAGTAACAGAATTTCTGTTTCTGATACCCAGATTAGATACAGCTCTTTCTATGTAACGGAATTTTGAAAGAACCGTCTGACCTTTAAAAGTGGTAAAAAGTTCAAAAAGGATTATTTATTTCTTGGTTTATGGTGTTTTAACACAATTTGCTAGCCTAAGGAATGACCAATTTACACAACAATGGGAAGGAACCACAGCACTGGAAGCAATTAAAAAAACATTCAATCTAGTGCGTAAACAAGAGCAGGGTAGGTGCTAGGCAAACCTTAAAGGCTACGGCATTCCACGGGCAAGGTGGCACTACTAAAAATCCTCTGGCTGCCACCCACCTCACCTCTCAAGGCAGGGGCAAAGAGTGCAGGGCCTGAGGGGAAGATTTTAGCTGGTGGGCTATATTGTATGCAAAGAAGTGGTCCTTCTTGTTACTTAGAATAGCATACTTCGCAAAGATCAGAAACAATTTATATTGTATTACCTGATAAGCAAAGAAGAAATCATTTATTGTAAATGTATTAAGTAGCAGGGAAAAAACATGTGTATGCTAGATACTGGCAATCAAATATCAGGAAAAAAGAGCAAGTGGATGAAAATTCTAGAGGCTGTTGTAGAAATGGAAAACTATATTAGACAGCTTTAACAGCAGCTAGGTACTGATGATCTGACAACATAGGCTGCATATTTGTCAAGAATTAAAGTATGTTGGAGATATTGATACAGTTAAATGTTAAGCCTATGGTTAATACAGTGTTTTAGAGCAGAGAACTACTCATGGAATGGAACTTAGCTGTGCACTCAATTACTGCTGTAGTCTCCTTTATCAAGGTGCTCCAGACACTTGGGAGACCTTTAGGAACAGAATGGGATATGGCAACGAGGTTGCAGTGGCAAGAGAGAATCAGTATATACTGTATGTCCCCTCACAAGAGTACTTCCATCCATGCAAAGGGATCTTTGGATCCAATCCAGTTTGTGGTGCCAGCAGAAATCTTACTTGATCTACTGAAGTTCATTTAAACAGTAACATCTTTTTATTTGTGACTTTCCCTTTTTTAATTCTATTGTAGGTCTACCTTTTTCCGATAACTATACTACTGTAATTATTTGTACCTATTAAACAGCCTTATTTCTGAATATCAGTTACAAGAAGAAAAGCAAACCTATTCAGAACATATGTCACTTCTATAATAAGACTACCCCTCATGAACTCAGCTCTAAACACCACACACCATAACTGACTTTCTCTTTGAAAAATTATGAGGATGATATATCTTGTACATAATATGTATCACAATATGGTATGTCCCTTACACAATGTTTCTGCATGCACATATTAGCACGATCATTTTAAAAGTCATTTATCCACAGACACTATGAACCTTAGTGCAACCTTTTTGATGGTCAAGTGGTCCCCTCCTTCCTCTTTTGTCAGTCGAAAAGTTGATAGGTTATACTTAAGGAGCCCCAAAAGCATCATTAGTGGTGCTCAGTCCTTAATACCTAGCACATTGCATCAGAAGTGGCATTTGTGATATTTTCAAAAAAAACCCACCAATTTTCTTTGGTGGTTGCTTGGAATAAATTACATGAATAATATGTTTCCCACATCCTTCATACTTCTATCTGATGCAACTTTTCACTTTTACTGTATCTGTAAAGATAGCAATCGTTCAGATTTTAAGGTACACAGTTGGCGACCACTGCTGTCATAAAATATTCTGAACAGAGGTTATCATAATTTCTATTAGCACCCCTTCTCCCAATTTAAAAGACTTATTCTCCTATATCACTCTAAAGAGTCAGGCCACCGTCTTAATAATTATCAGAGATGCATAATTCTCCTCATCATTCTGTGGGCCTCTTCTATATTTGTATTCATTCAAGGGAGCAGCATCGCTATATTAGCTGCAAAAAGTATTTTTGTTCCAGTTTTATCAGTACTTAGTTTATGTTTTGTGTTTGCATGCGCTCTCTCTCTCTGTCTCCATCTCTTTTTCACCCCAACCCTGTTTTACTACATGTCTTTCCAGCACCAACATCTCACTTGCCCCACCCTCTTTTTCTCCCTCTGACCACTCATCTTCCTTTTTCTCCTTCTACTCCCCCATGGTGAATTAAGTCAAAACAAGTTGCAAGGTTATTCAAGCACAGGAGGGCCAAACTGGCAGATTACATGGCTGGGTAAAAACAAGCAGAAAAACTTGGCACCATTTGCACCAATACTATTGAGGTGGGCCTGTAAGGGCAACCAATCTAGTCCAAAAGAGACAGGAAAGTGGTACCAATAACAAGTCATTTGTCTTTCTTTCTCTCAGACTGCTGCAATTAGGGAGGGCACCACAATTGATCCACAGGGATTATTTTATGCATGCTGATACAGAATATGGAACACACGGGAGCTGGTCCCACAGATAAGAAATAGGGGCTAAAATACTTCTTACGTTTCTTTCAGCAATCACATTTTGATATCCAAGGAGTGTCAAAAGCAATTGGTCACTATGATATTTATTAGCATCCTCTTTGTCACATGCATATATGCACTGAGGTCTTGGGGGCCAGAATAGGGAAAAAAGGAACAATAAAATGCTTTTATAGATTCTAACTGGATTTTAATCATCAAAGAAGAGTCCTTTTTATTTATATTTTTAATGAATGGTCTGTTTGCTCTTGCTAAGCCCTTTGGGATGTCTCTAGAGCCTAGGCAAAAAATTAAATAAATAATCTGAACCATAACGAACTCCTTAGCAATTTCTAAACATGCCAACAAAACCTTTCCCCATAGCCATGCCCCAGCCATCCTCATTAAGCTTACACTCCTCTTTCCAAACTACAACCAAAATCTTAGTTAGTAAAGTAGGAGGGAACATGTAAAAGAACTTTTAAAAGCAAGGAGCAATACTTCATTTTACAAAATTTGATCCTTCCACAAAGAGTTTCAAACACATTTGTTCTACCATTCATTTTAAACAGCAAGATAAATCAAGGTTTTCAGTCAAATATAGGGCTCTTCTCCAGAACAGATACCTTGACAACTATATTCGTTCTCTGTTTCACTTGCCAGAGGGATCTGTCATCAATCAGTGCCAGAACGTGTCATTTATTAAACCCCTAAAGAGATCAATGACCCTAAAAACCTTTCCCTAGCATTTGATTTACCCCACGGTATGACGTTATGAAACTAAGGACCCCTCATGCATCCACTCTGTGTCCATCTCTCCTCAGTGACCCAGTTCTCATCCCAGTGCTTACAATATTGATTTTTAGGACTATACTTCCCCCATAGAATCGTCAAGAGTCAGACACGACTGGATGGTTAACAACAACAACCTCTTCCTCCATATAGCTCTTTGAAAACAAATTTTAAGGGGGAAAAAGCTTTTTGAGCCTAATTGGAAAAGGAAAGTTACGTGGACAAATATTGTTTTTAATATTTGTATGTGCATCTTTCTTCAAGTTAACTCTTCCGTAATATTCTATTTAGGATGTGGTTATTTTAGCCAAATAATGTCATTAGAAAGCAAACATTTTTAATCGCTGACAACTACATTACTGAAGCTTTTTGTCCTTCCCATTAACAGCAACTTTTGTGTTTTTAAACACGGGGGGGGGGTAAAAGAAAGGTTACTTAGGATTCTAACCTGGAATGCTGCCACCTCAGGCCCACCCTTTAGGCCTTCCATTGCAAAGGTCTCCAGGTGCAGCTTAGGTAGCTGCAGGGTGAAGTCATTCCTAGTTGCCGCAGTCCGTGACAGCGAGATCTGATCTCTGACCTAAAAGGGAAAAAAACAGTATCAATGGTAATTCCCCTTCAGACACATTAACTGGGATGAAGTGGGTCCCCTTGAGTCCACTGAGTGGACTTGCATTGATCGCTGGACCTGAAATCCATGAATAAATTTAGGACTAATTGATTTTTCGTTGCAAATAAATCTCTAATTCAGAGTGCTGGGAGAGAATGTTAAGAAGAAAAAGCATCCTTTCCCCTAGACTGAAACAAGATGGGAAGGAAAGTCACTAAAGGCTTTCTGTCCAAGCAGTGCAAGAAAATTCTACAAATAAATAGTAATGCGAGGCTCAAGAAATAAAAATGTAAAACTTATTCACAACAGTGCATACAACAATAATTGGCTGTTTTATTAATATACAATTGCGTATCTACTCTAGAATGGCTACATACACTACCAAAAATATTTTGCTACTTTTGGTGTTCAGGCCAGGATATTTGAAGACTCTAAAAAAAAAGTCTTACACAGTTTTTAAATAGTAAGGCTAAAAAAATTGCTGAAGTATATTTGACTATTAGGGTATTTTAAAAACTTTGGTTGAACAGCTTCTTAGCCCTTTCCTGAGCACTTCAAACTGTCATCTAATTTGGCACTAAATCTTCTGAAGAAGGTAGCTCTGAAGAGAAAATTGGTATTCCTACCCCAACCCAAATAGTTTGGTTTTAAAATATTCAAAGAGGCATAGTTTAAAGAAACAATAACAAAACACTTGGCACCGTAAATGAGAGATACCCACAGTTTCTGTAGACAAATATAACCTTACGCAGTTGGTATTGTACTGCCACCTTCTGTCAAGGTGAGAAATCCCTTTATTCATTACATATTCTAAAAAATAGAAAGTACAACCATGCTTCTAAAAATTTTAATCAGTTTTCATACCCATATGAGTTTCACATCAAACTCATTTTGTTAATTAAAAGCATAAGCACAGCATATTGCTTCACATTTGAATTATGTTCACACATTCCCAAATTTTTCTCTATATGGGATTTAAACTATGTGTTTTACGAACACTCGTCTTGCCCCCAAAGCGCATAATACTATGTATTCAACAAATGACAGTGTTGGCATGCATTTGACGAATTAAAATTATTTCCTTGCATCAACAAGTAATTGTTTATAATAAATCTGTAGCTTTAGAATGAGAGAATAAAAACAAGCAAAAGATAACACCGCAAAGATAATTCTGGAAGTTTCTACACATCTATAAACACACATAAGACTTTACATGAATATGCTAATATAAAATTTCATTTTGAAATTCAGTTTAGGCAGAATTTAAATCCTGGTATTTTTGTCTTCCTTCTATATACCAGCTCACTTTATGAACAGTTTTAATTTGTGTGGATTAAGGTCCTGATTATTTTGCTTGCTTCAATATTCCTTCAGTGTCTATAATAAATAAAATAAAAGCTCATAAATGCATTTTACATCTGTAATGTCTAAGTGTATGTGTTGTTTTAGAGAATTACAAAACTATGGATATAGATACATATAAATTCAATGCTATAGTGTCCAGGAATAGGAAGTCTTCTATTTCCCAAGATGACCTAAAGAATTCCTGTCAATACCTGTGGCTGCCAAACTTATGCACTATAATGCAATTTTTATAACAAGCGTAGGTCCTCCACACATTTCTACACAGACTGTTCTAGGTTTAGGTTAGAGAGCCAGTGGAACAAACACCGTCTCCAGGGCCTTCCGTCAGCATGTGTAATTTTGTTCAGATGTTAACCTTACCCAATACAAACATGTTATCTTAACTATATCCACAATAATACATATTTCACTTGATTTGTGAGTGTTTAGATATTATAACATTTTCTGTCTCTTATTGCAGCCGATATATACACAGATAAAAGAAAACATTAATGTGGATTAAGGTACTAAGAATTTATCAACATCAAACCACCAGTGTTTTGCCTTCTACCCTTCTGAACCATAGTCAATAGATCTAAATATTTTACTGCACCCTGGCCAATTCATTGTTTGATGTTTAAAAACGCACCCAGAATCAAAGAAAATTTATTAAATTTGAGCCCCCAAATGAGATACTATTAGCTTTGAAAGTCAAGTTTAACTGCGATATTGATGATTCTCTTTTTTCTGTGACAAAATTCACCAGGGAAATCCCTGATGTCAAAGTACCAAAGCAGATTGCTAATACTGAAGAGGGAGGGGAGGAAGGGAGCAGAGGGAGAGATGGAGAAGGCAAGAGAGTGGGAGGAAAACAATGTATATCCTAAGTAAGTATAACACTGAACACAGAAGAGACAGCAAAAGGTACTTTAACCCTATCTCCACCTGGGTCTGTTCCTTGGTCACGATGGTCTAAAGTTCAGTTTCAGCAAGAAAGCCAGTAACATTTAAATCTTTAAAATGTACTAAAAATACAGTAGTAGATATTATCAGAAAGGAATGCAATAGTTTCCTGCAATAAAAGCCTCTGGAAATCAAGAGACCCAAGTAAATTTGTGAATGCTTCTTAATTATGTTAGATACAAACATCTATTATGATTTTCATTCATATGAATAACTTTGTTTCAGCTACTTTAAAAAAGGGGTTTCTTTCTGATAGCCAGCTGTGATGTATGCTGAAGGTCATAAGGAGTAAAGAAAAGAAAAATCAATTAATAGATAACTCCCCCCCCCCCTGCCAAACCCTGAGATTTCATTATGACATAGTTTTTAATGAAGCGGTAAAGCTGCGTCCGACTCATACCACCTGAGATGCCACGTGGGGGCTCGACATGACTGCTCCATACAAAATTTCCCCTGCACATGGAAGACTAGTAGATCAGGGAGAAGACGTATGGCCTTGCCTTCTCTCTGATACTTATTTTCCATGTGCTGGAATTTCCCCCCCTGTGCAGAGCAGAATTACCTACAGTGGAACCATGCCCTCAGACATTTTTGCCCACACAGTACTGCTCTTTCACAGTGCTGATTTGTCCTTGTGGTACTACTCTGAAAGTAAGGGAAGTGCATGCTTACACCAGTCCCTGAAGCTGTGCACAAACTATAGCAGGTTAAGCAAACTTTTTGCCCCCAAAATGGGAAAAGCCTGTAGCATCTACCTATGAAATGTATTTATTTCTTCACATTTATAGCCTGACCTTCCCAGAAGTGGGCTCAGGGTGGGTAACATTTCATTTATACAAAGATATTAGTTAGTATAATAAAACTTGAAATTTAAAACATCATCATAAATATTAAAATGTTGAAATGGTGGTCACAGCTGATAGCATAGAAATTTTTGGTTGTGGGAGGTTCCTGGCCATACCTAGTGGTTGTTACATAGCTGAAAGAATAACAGGGTGACAGACATCTCAGGGAGGCCATGTATGGATGTCCGCTGCCTCGGCCAAAGTCCTGGTGGAACAGCTCCGTCTTGCAGGCCCTGCGGAATTGAAGGAGGTCCCACAGGGCCCTGATCTCAATGGGGAGCTCGTTCCACCAGGCAGGGGCCAGGGCGGAAAAGGTCCTGGCCCTGGTCGAGGCAAGATGGACGTCTTTCGGACCAGGGACTCCCAGGTGGCCTGCCAAACAAAAAGGCAGGGGCATGTTAATTATTCTTGACTGGAGACTTGCAGATTGAACAGTCTGAGCAGATACTGGTCTGCTCCCAGAAGAATTTCAGGAATATGGAAGAAATCAGTTCCTCTACCTCTGAATATGGCAGAGTTCACAAATGCCTAAAATGTACTTCAAAACCAGAGGATATATTCTCTTGAAAAACAGCCAGTATATTATAGTTGGGATTTGAGAGACCCAAATTCCAGATCCCACTGGGCCAGTCACATGCTCTCAGTTCATCTGACCTTGAGGAAGGTAGAACCATATGGGTCACCATTAGCTTCTTGGGTGAGAAGTAGAATAAAAATGTGATAGCTACATAGATAGAGATGAGCCTACCTTGAAGTCCTGTTATCTTATCTGAAAGACTTTTTGACCATTCTATGTAAATAGAGGGTATCTGGGATTACCCAGTTAAACAAAGACACATTTACTAAAATATATCACTTTGCTATTGAACTTCTACATGAACTTACTGGGTGAGATCATCCGGTTATTTCAACTGTGTTGTTACCAATATGCAGGTGACACCCAGCTCTTCTTCATGTAATTTCCAGATAAATTACAGATGGAATCACAATAAGGAAGATTTAGTCCAATAAACTGCTGTAGAAGTTTTGCATATGCAAAGAGATTTTACATACTTATTAAAAATCATTATTTTTACATTTGGGAGGGAGGACTCCCTATACTAAACTCCAACTATTCTACCTTTGAAGTAGTTATAGCTATTGGTGAAAGTTCTGACCCATTAATACAGATGGAGCCCGGCTGTCTTCGGAGGAAGTAGCTGCCCCTTCCCTCCCAGCTACTTCCTCTGAAGACAGCCGGGCTCCTTTGGAAAGGCAGGCATGCGCTCTCGCGGGTGGGAGCGAAATGTTCTCCCTCCTCCAGGGTGATGGCCTTGGACTCGTAGGGGCAAATTCCACCTCTCGTGCGAGAGGTCATTCTGGCTCCCCTAGCTCTCATTAGGGGCTCTTAAAAAAGTTATGGCCGCCGCTGCTGTTCTCGGCGGCAGCTGCGACGCCCGCAGGGGTGGGGTGTGTGAAATGTTCCCTTGCCTCCCTGAGTCCCCGC